ATGTGTGATGCTTAAACAAATTATCTCTGGAATTCATAAGGCAATTCCAACTGTTTAATTGGCTCCTTTTATTGTCTGCCTCCCACAAGGGAAACTGTTGCTCCTAAATTCAGTCCTTTTGTAAGAGACAACTGTTTATTTTCCTCTCTGGTATATTCCTTTGTGCAGGAAGAGATAAACAAAGCTACTTTAGCTAAAGAAGAAGTAGTTAGGACTATTCAAAGTATTCACAGAGAGAGAGTGAGGTGAGGACATTGCTGTCGTCAACCAACTGTCAACCAAATTTTCTCTGCTTGTGTACATTCACCCCTATTTTGGTTTACTGACAGTATAATGTCTCTGGTCTTGTCCTTCCTTCCCCTGTTCTTATCTAGCTTTTTCTGAGGCTGCTACAGCAAAGGTAGTAATTTGGACTGTAAATCAGTATCTAAGATGAAATCTGGCAGTTCTGTAAGTCCTTTGCCTGAGGAACAACATCTCCTGCAAGTTTCAGCGGTGAATTTTTGGGATAGTTGATCCCATGACAAGTCCATATGGCCTACTGGGCAGTTTGCTGCCATGCCATTGTCTGTCTTCAAGAGTGGTCCTTGCTTGGCTTGATATGGCTTGGTGGAATATCTAAAAGAAGGAAAGAGTAGTAAAGGAAGAGGAGATTAATAATGGCATTTGCACATAAAAGATTGAGAAGACAGTATTTCCACATGTTTTTACACATGTATAGTTTGTGCCAGGGGCAGGAAGTCATGATGAAGGATGCATTGTGAATGCAAGTACACTTAAGTGATCCCTGTCTGTGTTTAACACTTGACTATGTCATTTCTTCTCCTGTGTTTGACTTCTGTGGCAAGATTTACAATATTAGATAACAGTAATATATAATAGGATGGAGATAAAAACTGTCATATCAAACTCAGTGTATTGTTTTATTTTAGCACAAGATGCATTTGTAAGAGGAGCTGGGAGTAAAATGTGAAATTAGCATTCAACAAAGAACACAAATCCTATTGTTACCTTCTTAAAATTTGACTGGAGTGGGAAAGGGAATAAGTTATACTAGTGATTTGTTTAATTTGCTTTTTATGAGAATGAATAGGAGGAAGCTGCAGTCTTCCTAGGATGTAAACTAACAAATACATACTTGTTTATGAGGAAGAGTGGCTGACACGCGTCTCTGTCCTTCACCATGCAGAACGTTCTGGTACGAGTACAATGAAGCAGTAAGAATATAATTACACATGTGCTTGTGTCCTTGAAGGCTGTCAGTATTGGAGACCTGGGTCAAGTGTGTGTTTAGATGCTTTGCTAGACAACTGTGCTTAGCATTTTTTAGGATGTAGCTAAGAGTAAATGGATGGGAAGGAGGAGTGGCTGGAAATGAACAGAACATTAGACCAGCAGCACAATTACCTGAATTATGACTCCTACTTTTCCTTGACTGTAAGGCAGCCGTTTAAATGAGTATTTCTATTTAGAAAGAGACTATGTCAAGATGTTAGACTGGGTTTTACTCCTGAGTTTCTTTACTTTTTTTTTAATGTTCTTTCACTACTGCAAAGGCAAGATCCATACAGCTGGAAGCTGGGGAAATATTCTGGGCAAGTTTCACTATAGGTTTGTCTCATTTTTACATGCTGCTTTAAGGGTTTGCTGTTGATTGCTGGCAGAGGCAGGATACTGTGAGAGCCAAGATATTCGGGATCTTAACCATTAAAATATTTATTGTTTGTTTATATTCAATTGTTATACTTGTACTTTTGAACCATCTCAGATTCAAGGAGGGAGTTCTGAAGTCTGCAAATAAGAGATTTCTGTACTTTAAATAGAGCAAATATAACTTTGAAAACGTTTGAGAAGCAGTAAGGTGGCTACATAATGCTGTTTTTCTGCCACTGTTTTTATCCAAAATAAAGCTTAAAGTTAACCTCTGAGCTTTAGTTTCTCACATGTAAAACAGCATAATTTGTTGTGAATACATGAGAAGGAAACTAATTGTTGCTGCTAAGGTTAAGGTATGCTCACTTGAGTAATCTTCAGAATTTATTGCAAGAAATTCTTATTCAGGTCTAATGCATGTTCTCTGTTCTCCATACATTGTGATGTATGACTGTGTTATAACATACTTTTTTTTTTTTTTTTTTAGTGTTTTTATATTGCTTTCCTGCAATTTCTCTTCTTGGTCTTTTCCCTCAAATCAACACCTTCTGTATATATCTTTTGGAACAAATAGACATGTTGCTTTTTGGTGGTTCTGGTAAGTATCTAGTTTCATCCCTTTCTGGGCTTATAACCTTATATTAGAGTTGATTATTGCATGTTTTAAAGCACAGTGCATGTTAAAGCACAAACAGCTAATGGTATTCATATAACAGTGAGGTGAATGCTAATAAGGCCACCTTGATTAGATTTCTTTTTTCTTTTTATAAGTTATATAAAAGTTGTACTGTAGGGTGCAGAATGTAACTGACATCAAAGAACTCTTTCCCGGCATGTCCCATGTGAATCTTTTCTCTCTTTCTAAAACAGAAAAACTCAAAAAAAAAAAAAAAAGTTTCTGTTAAAACTCCATTCAAAAAATAAAAATAAAAAACTGTTAGCATTGTTCCGTAGTAAGGCATTTTCACAAGATACTGGGTGTGTGATTTTCTGGTGTTATTTCAGTCAGAGGTTGAACAAGGCCTGTGAGAGACAGTGCATCTTTTCTTTTTTTTTTTTTTTTTTTTTGGTAGTGGTGGTTTTTGTTTTTCATTATAACTTAAGTAACAGAGAAGATTGGGATGCATCTACACTGTTATCTTAGTTTGGATCAGAAACAAGCTTCCTCCTTGTTCCCATTTACCATGTATTGTTTTGCCTCATGGAATGAGATCAGAGTATGCAAACTGGATTCCATTTGGATGAAACTTAGAAGAAAGTGCACTGTAAGGCTGCACCTGTTGCACTCCAAACGCTAATGAACATACCGTCTGTGGGACCAAACTAGAAATAATCTGCAGTAAGGCATCTCAAACATATATAATGGATGACATCCTCAGCACTTCTCATTCTACAGACCCACGCATACTGCATCGTTCTGCTTGCTACTGTAGACATAGCCTTTGGCAAGTGGTTAAAACTAGTATAGATCATATGGGTGTTCTTTGCTTTTTGTCTCATAAATACCGTAGCAGACCTGGAGGAAATAACATGTTGGATAAAGTCCTCATCCCATCAATAAAGCTGATTCCAGTGTCTGTTGAACCCTAATGAGAGCAAGGTTTTGCAGCCCCTATGTCCCCATTGTTGGGACTGCTGAACTCCTAATTCCATCTGACAGCTTTTTTCTACCCTGCTTCTGGAAGCTGTTGAAGGAGGTTAGAGCAAGAGATCAGCTGGTATCCTTCTCTCTCCCTTTAAATTCATTCCTGTATCTTAATATGGTGCAAATCACGGTTAACTGAGCAAGTTTTGGACGATCCCAGAGCCTGTGTCTTGGGAGCAAAGGAAAAGAGGAAAATTCTGCATGGAACTCAACTAGAAAATTGTGTTTTGTGGATCACTTCATTTTTCCTCTGTAGCAACAGGAAGAGGCACACTGATCTTTCGACAAAACTATGTTCAACACAAAAAGCAGTAGTGTGGGACCTCAAGTCAATGGAAAACACATGGAGTACAGTAGCATCAGGCTTTCAGTCTTAGCTGTAAACACTTGTGAGCTTATTTGGGGCATGAAGGTGTTCTCTCAACAACCAGCTTTATGATATCTGATTTTAATTTGTATACCTCTCATGTTGCAAGAACTGTTTCATTTTTTTTCTTTTGATTATACATTCTCATTTAAGAAGAAATTAACTAACCTGTACTGTCTGTATTTCAGCTGCTGCTGGATTCGTATCTGCACTATACAGCATTTCCCGAAGTTTTGTGGTTCTGATTGTACTATATGCTTTCTGCTTCAGTGCAGTTAAGGTAAGCCAGAAAAACAACACTGCAAAAATTCAAAATTTCAAGCTCAAAATTAATATAATCTAGGGAGACCAGCATTGTTTCATGCTATCTTGCCATTTTTGTTTATCAAGATAAGCTTTACAAGCCATGTTTCAGGTTCTGCCTATTAGCTACTCTGAAATAGATTGAAACTGTAGTAGAAATAAAGGAGTAAATGTGTGTCTAATACCTGGACTGTTTGACTCTTGCATGCATCACTCTGAAATGATCCACTGAATTTCCACTACAAAGTTTAACAGCAGCCTTGGCTTAGAAAGCTGCAACTCCTATTGACCTGTATAAACCAGGCCGTATTTGGTCAAAATTCCTAGTAAGACACATATTTTCAAAGGAAAAAATACAGGATTTTATTGTTACTTCATAACAGTATACCCAAGAACTTAAATTTTCAGCCTGGGCAGACCGGTGAACCACCAGTACTGTGTCTGCATCCATAAGGAAATGCAATTTAGGAATTCAATGCAAGACAGATGACTGTTTGCCACGCTTTCCCCTGATATTCCACCAGTATCCACAATTGTTGGATTAGGGATGTTGGAGAGTGTGTCCCTGCTTATTTCATTTGGTATCTGTGGACCTGTTGTCTATGAATTTGCACAGTCCCTTCCTGAATATGCTGGTGCTGTCTGTCTCCACAACTTTCTGTGCCAACAAATTCCAAATCTTCCCTGTGCTCTGTGCGAAGCAATACTCTCCTTCATTGGTTTTCAAGTGATCTGCTCATTTCACCAAGTCTTCCCTATGCCTAGTATTGCAGGAACTGTGGAAGAACTGTTCTGCATTCACCATATCCACTGCCTTTCCAGTTTTGTAGGCATCAGTCATATCGCCCCCGGCCATCTCCTCTCTAAACTGAAGAGACCCAGCCTTTCTAGTATTTCCTTGTAAAGAAGCTGCTTCTTTCTCTCAGGAGTAGCTAAGTTAGTTGCTCAACTCTGTGCCTTCTCTTACTCTCTTGTGACCTTGGAATCTGGAAAGTGAGTTGTATATGGTGCTCAGGATGTGGGTGTACCATGGCTCTCTCTATGCTGGCAAAATAACTGACTGCCTTCCTCTCAGTACCCTTCCCAGTGATACCCAGTGTTGTTTTATTTGGCAGATGCTACCTTTGGAGGCATAGTCAATCTAAAGCATTTCTTTTTTGTTTGCATTTAATTTGTCCTCTGCATTTTTTTGTTTTTATAAAAAATAGCAATGAAATTTTATCTGTCTTTAAGTCTGCTGTAAAATTCCCAGTGACTACCACGAGACCAGAATTTCATCTTAGACTTGTGATAAAATTTATCCTTTAAGGGACAATCTTTTGACAGTGTTTCATTATGGACTAGATGCTGTCAGTGCCCATGCAGGGTGCACCAGGTTGTGCAGTGATTTATGAGCTGCTCTTGACATCTTGTGGGCATACGTGAAGAGGATGCTTTGTGGTGCTATGCATGTGTAGCACACACAGAGATCCCCATATGAGGTTCTACAACAGCCAAGGATGTATCATGTCAACATCCAGGCTGGTGATTTGCACAGATCAGAGGGGAGATTGGATGTTTCTTTAAGGGAAATCTTTAAGGAAAATAAGCATTTCTGTAATGGCTTTTAACAAATTTTCCACTTAAAATTTTGAATAAGAGCCTTAAATCAAAAAAGGTCAATTACAATGCCCTAATGATCTCTTGCAGATGATCTGAGCTGGCTGAGCATGTGTTTTTATCCATTCCCAATAGTAAGGTAAAATGTGTTAAGCCACCATTTTATATTGCCCCTGAGTGGCTTGAGTCCATACACAATAAATTATGGCAACTCAGTTGCTGAGCAGTGCTGCGTTAAGACACTTTAAATTAAATGTCTTTGAACATGTGGTGTACTCCCAGGGAATCTCCTGTCACCAGGCTCACCCAGTATATCAGTTACGCTGGTTTTACCTGACCCAGTTGTGTGATGCTAGAAAGCTTAACTGCTTCTTATGCAGTTTTCTAAAGTAGCTAATATTCCTGCTACTGTTTTCCAGCTATATTAATGATATGGAAGCTGGCAGCTGGGATGTCTCTCTGTAAGGATGAACAGAATGAGAAAAATTGGTAATGGGGGAGAAAACCAATGAGAAAGATGGAAAGAGCTATATGGAAGGAAGGAATTGAGTTAAACCACTGTTTCAACAGGCAAATATCCCCTAAGGTTAGCAGAGGGCAATTCACTAGTTGAGGATAGGAAAGTTGTGTGATGGATACTTTAAAAAATAGTTTTGTAAACAGTATTAAAGAAAAGCCTCTTAAAATATTCTACAGGCTCCTTTCTCAGCATAATACTTTAAATTACAGCATGCAGGTGGCTTTGTAGATAAGCAATCTCTTTGTGGATTAAACTTCAGACTGCTTAGAAATATGCTTTTAATGCTACCCTGAAGTTGTAGAGTGCTGTGAAAGATTTACAAGATATCTGTTGTAAATTACCAATATTAAGAGCAGACTTTCTGTTCACACAGAAATTACAGTTAATTTGAATTTTTATGGCATTGTTCTTGTGAAGGCACTTCTGAGGAGGTTAATTTAAAGCATGTAAAGATGATTCCACTTGCTTCAGCTCATAATCTCAGTCTACTGGGGTGCTTGAAATATCATACATTTTTTCTTCTAGAAGATACAAAATAAACACTTGTGTTAACTCTCTTTGTTCTTCCATTGGGTCCAGAGATTTCTTTTTTTTTTCCCCTTTGAACTGCTGTCTATAACATTGCAAGAGAATGATTCTTTGGTTTGTGGAGAAGGAGTAGGATTTGGCTTAAATATAATAGATGAATCTGATCCTGAATAGGGACCACTGTGAAAGGTGGTCACATACCCCTGTAAGAAACTACAACTCTTTTGATATGTAGTGAACAACAACTTCTGATCCTAACCAAATGAAGGTTTGGATTTTTGGTGCACTAGTAACTCAGAGGAGTTTAACTCAAAACTGAGCAAATGCTATAATCTGTTCATTTAGGTGTTTAAACAATGATGATAAGTACATGGTTTTCTTTAACGTAGAAATGACATCTCTTCCACACTTGCACTTTACAGCTATTCTTCATTTTTTCTTTTGAATTTTCTCTTTTCACTTTTAATCAGTTTAGCAAAACCAACAGAGCAAAATCTGCAATATTTATGGAGGTCAAAAATCATCACAATTGAAAAGATTCAGGGCAAGGAAACTTGATAGACTCTCTCTGGCACAGGATTTCTGGGTTGCAAAGCTTATTTCTTGGCTGAGATGTAGCATCCTCAAATGTAAACTCTGTTTATTGGCAGAACATCTTACAGCTCAGCAGGTGTAACTAGCAGAGTTCTATTTCCTGAAATAAATTGCAGAGGAGAATGGATCTCTAAGTGGCTGTGTGCTTTTTCCTGGTGAACAATTGCTCGCATCAAATGCCGAGGCTGAAGACTCATTCCAGCAGTATCAGGCTTGAGCCTCACTTTCCTTAAGTGGTTCTTGTGTTCTAATTATTATCTTGCAGGGTGAAATAGTCTAGCATTGTTTCTCTGTGTATGTTAATTATTCCAAAAGGAAAGATATCATTCCTGAAGAAGTTTGTTAGAAGAGTAATTAATTTACCATATGATTTTATTTTTTATTAAAATAAACAATTTTCATTTTATAATAGAACTGTGTTCTTCAGTGAGTTTTTCTTATTTGTTCACAAAACAGTGCAAGTACTCAAGTTAACTTTCAACATGGGAATATAAAGTCTGAGAATTGAGACAAATAGTCCTGTGCTGAAATCCTGTGCCTTGTCCAGACTGATTTTGGTGTTGAATTATGTTGTACAAAACCAACTGATAGTCTCTATGAAAAAGCAGCTGCAATATAGACATACCATTAGTTTAACTTAATAACTGTCATTGATTTTTGTTCAGATAAGTTGCCTGAGAAAAATTATTATACAGTATTCTCAATTGAGAGTTCATCCTATGATCTGCAGACAAAATTTAGCATGCCAAATGAGTTTATCTGGCCCTGCTGTTCTTTCTGAATGACCTTGCAACATCTTTGCCATCGCACGAACAGAAATGTTTCTCTCTCACGGCTAAAATGGACATATCACTTAAAAGAGGATGGACAGCACAGTCTTGCACTAACAGTGAAAGTGCAAGTGAGTGGAGCAGGTTTTCAAGTCACTGTCTGATGTAGCTGGTGAAAAGACGTCATTCCCTCTAGTGATGGTGCAATGTTACCTGGTTAGATTTTTGTTTTATGGTCATATTATCACAGTGAGGCAAAGTGGTCTGCCTACAGCTTTCAGGTGCTGTAAAGCATCTCTTCATACATTTTATCCCATGACACATCCCTCTCATGAGTGATATGACACCAGCTGCTTATCCAGCCTTACCTACTACAATACTGTGAACTTGATTTCAGACAGAACATAAATGTCTTAGCTCCTGAAGTTAAAAGACCTGAGTTTCTCCTGCTTGCCTTGTGATTTTCTTTATCTCCCAGGCCTCTGTTTAATGATATCATCACTCCTTATTCCAGTTCTTTCTAGGTTCTCTATGAACTGTCATTTACTTTTGTTTAATAAAAAGCTTTAAATCTTAAACATAGTTTTATAACCTCTTTTGGTCATTCCTTGGATTGTTACATCTAATAGCAGCAATTTTTCAGCTTGCTTCTTTTTTGAAGCTATTGGGTAACTGAGTTTAGATTAAAATTATCTGTGTTCACTTCAGCCTGGCTTTATTTCTGATCTTGTCTTCAGTCCTGTAATCTTGAACAGAAGTTGTCAGCTCTAATAGCTACCTTAGCTTTGATATATGAAAGGGTTATATCTTTTTCCTGGAGGAGGTGTTTTTATTTTAAGATATTACATCCATCAGACTGGGGACACAGGAACTTCTGTGCCATCTTTTTCAATTGACTAGAATTGCCTGATGTGCAGCTTTTTGTCTCCCACTCCATCTGTTTTGTGGCCTGTGCCCAAATATTTA